CGGCATCTGTTCGCTTGCAGTTCCCGGCCAGGCATCCAACCCACCCCCACGGACCTTTGGCTCAAGCCGGTCGAGATCTCGGCTTTTCTCTGTCTTCTACCTACTACCAGTTTAGATTCCGGCGGGGACTCCTGATGCAACAATGGGCTACGGCACACACAACAACCGGTTAGGCATCGTGGCTGCAGCCAGTCGCGAACGACTGTTCGAATGCACAATAGCTATCCTGCATCCAAGAACCAGGCCTCCAGGGGAAGCCACTTGCTTTTGTCGTTCAAAACGCGGGACAACAGTAGTCGCACTTCACATCCCCTTATTATTCGCATTAATCGCACTCGGTAAATCTTTGTAGACAAAGTCCACACTGGAGGGTGACTTTTCGGAGGCTAAATGCGTCAACATCCGGTCTGAAATATTTAAATCAGGCTACCCAGGCTCTTTTTTTCCACTCGTCTACACCATTGATAGATTCAAATGAGCGACGTTTGGTTTGAGAACAGCAGGACACCTGTATATGTCACGCTTTTTAGCCATTTCATCCACTGTCTAAAAACCGTCCCCATTCGCCTTGACCATGTCTTGGGATATGGCGAGTTTATACGAAAATCGATTAAGTTAGGTCCTCATTGCGTCCGACCTACACAATCGCAAATCTAGTGTCAGTATGTAGATCAGGCGGATGAAACTCACGGAGACAAATGTCCAAACCAACATTAAGTCGCAAAATATGGTGTCGTCGCCGGTTCCACCCATTAACACCCACGCAGGTGCAGTCATCAGAGGTAACTGCAATTCTTGGCAGTGCGAGGTAAGGTATCGCTATACCACCTATACGAGAATAGTGTCCTTGACAGTTTAGACGGCACCAAACCCCTGTGACAATTAGTAGGCGCAATCGCAGTTTTCGAAAATAGAAGCGCAACTTTTTGAAACTTATGCCAACCAATAAGATTCTTACAATGACTTCTTCCGACGCCTGCGAGTGAGACCTGCGTCACCAACTCGACCTTTCTTTACCGCGATGATATCCGACCTTAATTTCGATCGCACGCGTCTTTCATTGCACAGTCAGCGATTTGCGCGGCCGACGTGCCACTTGACTAAACATCGTATTTGAGTCTACGGCTTCAGATGAAGACCATAGTATTAGATGCAGATGACGAACAGGTGCTTTCTCCGCAGAAGAATATTCAGCATTATATATAGCCAATCGTTCTGACCATGGCATCGTGGCATTTTTTAGCGTCTTCCAGTTGTGTAATTTCGTCATCTCCCCTTGGGAGTTATGTGGCTTTTCCTTTGAAAGTTGTGTTTGTCCGTGGCTAGGACGTTGGGGCGACATTTGCACATTTTATCTGAGACCGTCTGATTCCAGTATTCATACTATATTTTGGCGTTCGATGTTTGAACGGTTACAAGCGTGGGATCCTGACTGCGTATTACTGACTGAATACATCGTCATATTTACTTCGCCGAATATTGAACTTCTGTATAGGTTAGTATACGGAGTAAAAGGTCCTATCTTCCTGCCTGTTACTTTTTTTCGTGCCCATCATCCTTACTACCTTATACCGTCGAGCACGTACTTTTTGCCACATAAGACTGGTTTGGGCTTCATACATTCACTGCAATTTCTCTGAAGTCGGCTCATATGTCGTAGGTAGGCTTCACTATGTAATATATTGCAGTTTTCTTGGTTATGCTCGCTTTCCAGTGGATTTAAACTACATACCCGACATCTTCGGGTTTGTTGGCTGTATGTCGCTGCAGCCTCATTTATCGGTACCATAAAGGTTATAACTGCAACCAGATTTCCGATATTATAGGCTTTGTGGACTCTAGCCTTTTTATTTGTCGTTTGCTAGGTACGATGGATGTGGTACCTTCTAGCGACGCATCGCCTGCCACTCCGAGCTCAAATGAAGCGACTAATGAAGAGGAAACACCTATGGAATCTTCACCCGACCCCAGTATAGATTATGAATTT